AACTTCTGACTATAGATTTGTAGAATCGACTTAATGGTCCATATCCACACAAATTTGCATAGTCGCATAAACGCATAAAGAAAATTATCCAATCACATTTTACATGCGATTTTATAAGAGAAATGCAATTGAATAATTTTCTGTATGCATATGTGTACCCTAATGGTGTGGATATACCCTAATTTGTGTGAATATACCCTAATGGTTGCCTAATTCTACTTCAGCCAATCACTATGTAGCGAGTCTATCACAATTGGCTGAAATAGAATCGGACAACTATTGATCGTAATCGTTAACCCGTAATCTGATTGCATTTTCGGCCTGATCGGGTTTGCAACCTGAGTTGGAAGATGCTTTACTATTGATTGACGTTACACGCTCTACCAATAGGAGAACACGAAATATAATGAATTCAATCCAATGTATCGATTATGTAATTTTCTCTAAGATGGAAACATGAAAAGTGAAAATTTTTTGACGAGTGTGTGTATATATATATACATACATACACATGTAAGCATACATACACATACATTCATACATAAAAATGTTCATTTTTCACGTTTTCTCTAAAAAAAAAGTTACATGATCGCGTTATTTACTGAAAAAAATAATAAATAATTTATAATATATCGATAAGTTATTTTTTCCGTTACAAGTAACGAATAAAAGTAACTAATTACAAATAAAAAGTTATTTTTTTCAATAATGAATAGAGTTGCCAATTCTCGGTCGCACGAAAAGAGCATATATACATTGATTAACAAAAAGAGTATACTTTCGAAAAAAAAAGAAAAAAATGAGGTGGTTTTTTTTATTTTAAATGCTGAATGTAATAGAATGAAATTTCTAAAATGTAATTTTGATTGATTTTATTCAATAAAATTTTTCATAAAATTATAAATGTTTATTCACATTTTACTTTTTAATGAGATTTTTTAACGTTAATAGAACTGAGAAAATAAAATTGATTCATATATTCCACGTACTTTGCAACTTATAAGTTTTTTCAACAAATATATATAACCAAATCTTTAATAAAATCCCTATAATATATAATACATTTATTTATATATTACAAACATGTTTGTAATATATAAATAAATGTATGTATAAATATTTATACATTACATGTTCAAAGCGAACACAGTACAAGCCAAGTAAAACTTTTTTATACAATAATAAAATAATAAATATTAAATAATTTTTTTAATTTTGTCTTATTTTTTTCCAAAAAAACTACAATATATAAAAAAAAATAAAATATATATGCAATAAGTGAAAAGTAAGAATACACTATTTTTCGACTTCAAAAAGAATATGGGAGATCGAGGCTAAATGGGCACTGAAGCTAAGCTAGCATTTGAATTTTGAGTGGCAAAAATATCTTATGAGTTCCCAATTTATTTTGTAGAAGGCATCTTGTGTGTCTTCTTTACTAAGGAAGTTTGGTTAGTTCGGATGTTATTATGTTTAGATAGTTAAACGTGTTTTCGATCAAGTCAAAAATAATTTTTGAAATTTCATTTTTCGAATCACATTTTTGTGTATATGGATGAAATAAAATTGCAAACACTAAAACTTTTTATTGCCATCTTATAGTCTTATAATCACTCTATAAAACGTTAATAATTATTTGACTAAAATTGTTTATTTTATTATTGAAAACTGCAATTGAAAAGAAAGTCCTCATTTAGTCTTGGTCTCCCTTATGTACTCTTAAAAGATTATGGTTAGCAATTCTAGTAATGAGTGACTTTTCCAACTAATATTAAAATTATCGTTATAAAAAGATTTGCAACATCAAATTGTTATTATAACAAAGTAAAATGTATTTCTATTTCCCGTTAAAATCTTTTTTAACTTTAACATTACACAAAAGTAATGAAAAAGATCACGAATTTAAGTAACGATAATGCGTTACTTTTTAAAATTAGTGACAAATAATAGTAACAATTAAGTTTAACATTTAAAAAAAATTAGTAGTAACATCTATTTTTATGAATAATGTTCTCAATCCCGAATACTCGTAATGTAAATCATAGCTTAGAATTAACTGGACGTAATTCCTGAACGTACCCCTGTACAGACAAAGAAAGGTAAAGTATTGACCAAAGGAGCAAAGCAAATAAAGGAAGAGAATGTCTCTACGCTGAGTTTTTACATCTACATGGCTTTAGGCGCAATGGGAATATACTTCATAACGATGATGTTGCGTGAATTCAACGCACTGACAATAGTAAGTTGAATCTCGTGTCTGATGAGGGTGAATCTGATGAGCTCCGATGGGCTCGTTGTAGGAGCTATAGTTGAGCATACATTGGAGCATTCGACGCGAACAAATCTATGGATACCGATATAACTCTATAGCTATATGAAATCCCTAACTGTGTATTATTGTTACAGAGTCTAATGGCATTTTCTGCAATTATATATATAGGAAGCTACCAATTCATGTCGTACATGGCTCGCGCCACGTACTCTGAATCTGGCCAGCTCCTGGATCCAGGTGTTGATCTCAATATGGAAGGTGGTATAGCAGAGTAAGTTTTTGCTATAACTGTACTCTTCTCATCGTTATTACTTTCTCCCTAGATAGCATGAGGACATCCAGTATTGGACATTCACTTCTTGGAATGTTCATAGAATGTCCAAATTAGATCTGTCAGATTCATGAAATATATATTTGTTATATGAATTGAATTTAAAATGGATATCCTTGGAATGTCTACTGTTATCTGGATCCTATTGTTTATTGAACAAAATATCATAATTTTGTTTACAGACATTTCAAAGATTTAATCATATTAACGTCAGGAGTGCAAATTCTGTCCCTTATTTCGAACTACTTTTGGTTATTGTGGCTTTTGGTAGGTATTTCGATAAATCATTTGCATTGCTTTTCTTATTCAATGTCACAAAAAGACCGCATATATGTGGAATTCTTGTTATTGCATATTTTGGAAATTCTACAGGTACCATTGAGGGGAAGCTGGGTGCTCTGGAAACAAATTTTGGCTCCGTGGTTCTTTGCTCAGCCACAAGTACAATCTGAGATGAACGAAAAGAAAATGCGCAAGTTAGAAAGGAAAATGGCAAAGCGATATCAATGAAATTGAGCAACTTCGTTGCTATACAATAAGAAAATTCCATTGAATTATACCTGATTTAACCAAGGGGATGGTAGTAAGTTCAAAAAACTGGAAAGAGACAAAAATTTAGAAAATTTAAGATTTTTTTCTTGTCAAGAAAATTGAGACTGTGGTTCGACATTTATATAGGATAAATATTAAATGAAACAAGATTTTGGAGGTTTTTACAAAAATGTACGAAACAAGGAAACACTTTCACAGAATTAGGAGGAAAATGGCAAAATGAGAGATAGATTTTTCGCCTTTACTTCTTTGCATTTTAAACAATTGATTCTCGGCAGACTGC